TCTCCCCGACTTCTTTTTGTTCCCGGATCAAAAGGATCAAAAGGAGCTTGTAAGGACATCGTTTCGGGACGATTGAGGCAGTCCAAGCGGCTTCGACGGGATGCTTGAACAGTCTTTCGGTTGCTGATTTCTAGGAGGCGTATGAAGAGTGGAAAAAGCACTGGTAGCGGTGTATTGATGCAGGACAGTAATATTTTGAAGAATATTAACTCACTGTACATATATCTTCAATAAAATAATTTTATTTTTAATTTTAATAAAATAATTTTTATTACTTTAGCCCCGATATTTATTGGACAAACCCTGTATATTATGTGTATCGCAAGCTTAAAACTTAACTGAATATATTTTGTGTTGCGCCGATTTTGCATAACTTTTTAATCTGTTTATTAAAATTGTTAAAATAAGAATATTTGTTTTGTTCTAGAAAATATTTTGTACGTTACCTGTTTTTTTTAACCATAATAATTCTTGTAAATCTTATACATTTTTATATAAATATATAAGGGTGTTTTATTTTATTTATCCGAGGCTAATACCTTAGAAGGAAATCATCCTAGCGAAAAATGGTTAACATAAGATTTTATGATTTAAGGAGGCTCTTAACCAAAATGAAATATGAGATATCACCATAAAATTGAAATGTGTTGCATAGTTAGTCAATTCAAACCTCTTCCCAAAATTTGAGCATAGGTTGCCGGCCAAATTTTGGAAAAAATCGATGTCGCAATTTTTAACATAGGCCTTTTGGAAGAGTACGAAAATTTCACTGGAAGTGACTTGTTTTGTCTGCAAGAATGTGGGCCAGATAAACAAAAAACTGAGAGTTGGTATTTCGAGTATTGATTTTTTTAATGATGTCAAGAAAAATGCATGTTGCCGATGAGTTTAAAAAGATATCGATGTACGTTTCGTAGGTTAGATTAGACACCGACTCGCGCGCAGCATTCAAGAAGGCGCGCGAAATTTAAATTATATTTCTAAGTAAATAATCATTTATAATTTTATTATTATTTATTTGTAACGCTGTATTAAACAAATACACATAATATATGAACATTATTATTATTTAGAACAATATATGACAAGAATTTACATTGGACTACTTTTTTGACTAGTAAAAATACTATATATTTTTTCTAATACTTTTTTGTTGTTTGTAACACGCGGTTTCCTTTCAACATTTTACGACAACAATACGCGTAATTCATCTATCCCGCTTTTCGTATAAGTATCTTGCAATATTATTTTATTAAAACCTACTTTAGACACTCTATCAATCATTAGACTAGAAATGATGTTTTTATATTCCTGTAACATTGTCTTATTTTGTAATTCAATAATTCTGTTATTTTCTTTTTGTTGAATAAAATAAGTATTTCTTGCATATTCTGCGATAGTTAATTCAGTAATGTTTAATTTTTGCATGATTTTTTTAAATACTGCTACGTCCTCTGTAGCATCGTGCAATTTATTGGGATTGATGTCAGATAAAAAATCTGTTGCTAGGTTTTGTATAGAAAGCTTTTTTTTCTCTTGCATCCTTTCAGGAAGATTTTTTTTGCGATTTTCAGTGAATCAGCAAAACCTTTAACAACGGAAGAAAATTCTTTTGCTAATCCTACTTCCTCAAACAGTTTCATGATTCTCTGTGCATCAAATCTAAAAATGAATACAAATATATGTAATTGATTGATAACATGAGTGCATAATGTTAAATAGATGGCAAAAAACTATATGTATGCTAACTTAAAACAGTTATGTGCAACTAAAATACATTGGTTGTATTTTTGTAGAAATGAAATTAATTGTAGTACAGCTTCATCAACAGATGTTATTAATTTTTTGTCTCGTAAAAATAATTCACCGGAAACAACATGTAAACCTATTACAGCTGAAGCACTTTTAGAGATATTTTGAGTGGGCGAGATGTAAACAGAAAATTCTGCGTCATTGGTAAGCGCTGCTATCTGAAAAAATAATTAATATGTATATATTATTATTATATATATATTACTATACAGGGTGTCCCAGACCACCCGTCTCACCCGATTTTTTCGTAAACGCGACATTTTAAAGAAAAATGTTTCAGACAAAAGTTTTGTGACTTCGAGGGGCACATAAGATGGTGTCATTGGTTTGACCTTGGATAGTCGTTTGAAGATCACGTGAAGGTCACCTTTAATTTCTTAAATGGAAACCCCCATTTTTCAATGCATATTCTTGTAGCTTACCTCGAGAGCTTTCCAAAACGCTATAATGAAACGTTTTTTTAATCAGTACTTTTCGAGTTATGAGGGTTGAAAGTTACGGTACCGCCGGCATTAGCATTACCCAAGGTGGAGGTTGCACGGTCGGATTTACACCTCTTTGTGTGTTTGTGTGTGTGAATGTATGTGTGTCAACAGAGATAAGGACTCCACGGTTCGTCACTCCCGTAGTATTTATCGACTCCAAACCCTCTCTGCTGTACGCGCGCGCGCGCGCGCGCGCGTGTGTGTGTGTGTGTGTGTGTGTGGCTGATGTTATTAGGCCTGGTGTTCGAAATGTCCACCGTTTGCTTCAATGCAAGCAAGTACTCTTTTCTCGAAATTATTTGTTGCATGAAGAATTTCATCAACATGTAGAGAACGAATAGCGAGACGTATTCTACGAATCATATCATCTCTTGTCGTAGGGCGTTCGCGGTATACCAGATCTTTTAGTCTTCCCCACAAATAGTAATCGAGAACAGAGAGGTCCGGTGATCGTGGTGGCCAATGATGTGGGCCATATTTTCCTATCCATTTATCTGGAAACATTCTGGACATTTTGAGAATTTTGTTACACCTTACGTGACAGTATCAGACATGTCATACATCACGACTGGATAATGCTAATGCCGGCGGTACCGTAAATTTCAACCCTCATAACTCGAAAAGTACTAATTAAAAAAACGTTTCATTGTAGCGTTTTGGAAAGCTCTCGAGGTAAGCTACAAGAATATGCATTGAAAAATGGGGGTTTCCATTTAAGAAATTAAAGGTGACTTTCACGTGATCTTCAAACGACTATCCAAAGTCAAACCAATGACACCATCTTATGTGCCCCTCGAAGTCACAAAACTTTTGTCTGAAACATTTTTCTTTAAAATGTCGCGTTTACGAAAAAATCGAGTGAGACAGGTGGTCTGGGACACCCTGTATATATTTAAATTATAATACCGTATATAGTACAGTTTAATGGTACCTGCAAGATTTCATCTCATTTTGCAAAACTAGCTGTTTCCAAATCAAAAATAACGATTTGGCATTGGGAAAAATCAACTGTTGAAGTGACTTCACGATTTTCGTGAATTCGTGGAAACTCGTACATAGCAACACCACTTTGATAGGTGACACCTTCTTTTCGGGTACTACTTGTAGTTTTTCTCGACCTATTTTTTTTCAACAATAGCTTCTGCCTTTTAAATTTTACATCATTTTTTCTTACTTTATGTAGTTCTTTTTTTTTATTTTTTGATTCACGGTAACTTGCTGATTTTTTGCCAGGTGATAATTGTAAATTTTTATAAACATCATTTACATAAAATGATCCGATGTTTTTTTGGCAAACCGCTGCACCTACTCGAAAACTAAGAGATTCTGAACCAGCGTAGTGCCTAGTTTTCGGGTTTTTAGAAGCTACTACGTTGTTCAAAAACTCGTTTCCTTGAGAAGAACCACATTGGGCAAGCTTATCGGCACAGTCTACGTAGCGACTAAAAATTTGAGTCAGTGTTAAGCAAAGATCTGGATTGTTCAGTGGTTTACCGTTAGGTGAATTTTTATGAATGTGTGGATCATTTTGCGTATTTGCAGCATCACACCAGTCGCCACATGTAATATGTTCCCCAAAAAAGCATGTGGAACAACCGATTGCAATGCGTTTCTAATCTTCCCTGCATCATTTCGATTTTGTTTAACGCAATAAGCAAAGTTTTTTGAAAAATAAGGAATCAACATACGAGGCACTTTCACTGCATATAATGCATTATTAAAATTTTTTAGCACGTGGTTCCAATCTAAGCATTTATTGACCTCATGAGAAGCCAATTTTCGAACAATGCCATCGTACTTGAGTCATCGTCTCCAACTAAAACATTAACATCAACATTTTCTTTTTCGAAAAGAGGATTTTTCGTAACCATTTCGATTGCCATATCTGACTCCATCGCTTTGGCGGAGCCTTGGAAGTTTAATCTACAATCGTGGTCTTCTTTAGCATGACCTATTTTGCACAAGCGACAATCTTCGTTTCTTATAGCATAAGATAGAATTTTACCCGAGTTGCAACCTATTAATGTCGCGTGACCTGTAATTTTTACATTATTTTGTCAATTTTTATTTTATTTTATTTTTTTTTGAAAACTATTACCCTATTAAATCAAAATTATGTAAATTATTGTCGTTAATTATATAAACATTTATGCTGAATATTGCTAAAATTAAACTCAGTAAAGTAACAGTTACCCGATAAACTATTATAAGCTCGTTCATTACCCCTCTTTTGCCATGCACCATCAAATGATGCTTTCAAATAAACTTTATTTTCTAACGATGACGACTCTTCACAACTCTCTGCGTCCATTCTATATTTCAAAGTAAAATAAAAGAAAAAAAAAATTATGTCAGGTAAAATGCTAGATTCATATAAAAAGAATGTATTAAGAAATAATTTTTTTCTTTTTATTACAGTTTATTATTGAATTCATAAATGGCAATAATGCTATACATACAATGTGTAAAAAATAATTTTTGTTGTTCATTATAAATTATCATGACGTATATTAACGTTGTATAAAAAAATTAAAACTAATCTTTTATTTACTTAAAAATTAAAAAAAAATTAAAGTATAAATCAATAAATCATTAAAGAAATTACTAAGATGCACGATTCAAGTTATGTAATATTTTACAAATGCTTAAAAAATTCATAAAAATCAATAAATCATAAAAAAAAATTAATCGAAATATTCATACCATCTACCCGATGGTATAAATATTCATACCATCCACCCGATGGTATGAATATGTATATACATACAATAATTACTCTAAACTTACAAAACACTTTCTTTTGCTACTTTTACAGTTAATTTTTTTTCCAATTGAATACTTTTCAAGCATGATCCTTCAGCAACTTCTTCTATTGCTTTACCAACTACGCGTTCGTGGATTTTGATTGTTTTGGGTCCAATTGAAGGAACATCCATAGAAGTCAACAAAGAATTCACATGGGTTTCTCCGATCCCAGCATCGATCATTCCTTAAAATAAATATTATATTTAATACTCTATTAGTTTTGCAGAAAAAATTTTAATTTAATTTATACCCAGTGCTGCTTTTGTGTTGACAATGAATCCACCCTTTTCAGAAAGTCTTTTATCAGTGCTGACAAAAACTTCTTTTTCACACTGCATACATTTTACTTTGAAAATACTTGCTAAACCATATCTTTTTTCACTGAGTATGTTATTGATGGATAGTGGAATTTTATAGTCGCGGCACCATAATTGTTGTCCAAGTACGATCAGATTAACAATTCTACGAGCTCCCAAAGACTCTATTTCAGTAAAACACTCTGGTGGTTTGTTTACCTTTAAAAATAAATACTTCATTAGTTTTCAGACAATATATTATTTATTTTTATAAGATTCAGTTGAGATAAACTGCAATAATAAAAGTTCAAGTTGATTATGTTATATTGATATTAACCTCATTAACACGTACTGCTTGTTCCCTGCACCTATTAATAATTGCGACATAGTTGTTTTCTCGAGCACTTACAACTTTATTTTTGGCAAATTGTCCTTTCTTTTTTCCTCTGAGCATTCTGATGTTATGTCTTTCTTTTGGTTTATTTCGATCCATTGTAAAAAAAACTCGCTTTTGCAAAACAGTAAATACAACCTCAAATGTCGACTCGTAGCTCGGAGCAGACGGTTGCCCGCGCGTACTGCGCCTAATTTCCGCTCCAGTACTGACGTAATCAAGTTGTTTCTTGAAAAAGTTTTTAATTTGTATAAAATGAACGCGATTTATATACGTAGGCTGTCTAAAAATCCTTTTTTATTTATTTATTGATTGTTATGGCAATTTCACTGCAGTTCTTTAATATTAATTTGTCGGTTGCTATATTGACTAGAGTGGCTGGTTAAGAGCCTCCTTAAAGGAGGACATGAGATAATAACCTTAGTCTTATCAGAGATGATGTTGTTCAAGGTTATTTCAATGTCAATTTTATCTTTTTAAACAATAGCACTTATTTTTGTTTCGTTTTGTGATTTATATATTTCAATTGAACATTTTTTATATCTTGACATTCTATTGTAAAACTAGTAATTGTTGAGATATTCATATTCAAAAAGTGAAGATTCGTGATTTTAGCTCAGATCAAAGTCAATTTTATAAAAAAAAATAAGAACTATGTTTTATTGTATTTTTGGATTTATTTAATCAAAATAAATGTTTTTGGTATCTTAATCATTTGTTTACAAAATCAATAGTATATAAGATATTTGGGCTTAGAAGATCAAAGATTGATTTGGCCACTGAAGGCAAGACCGACGATTGATCTGGCCAGTGAATGCAAGACCGACGATTGATCCAATCAATGAAAACAAAATTGATCGACTCCGTAGAGTTACATCTAAGTCACATGGAGTCTATATTTTTGGTCTACAATAAATGCTATACCACCATCCTGTCAAATACATAGTTGCAACCGTTTCTCGAATGCATCAACTGTTTTTCTAAGAACGTTGGCTAGTATATTTCTACACGCTCGTCTGATGTGGTCTTTTATATCCTCAGCTGTAGTAGGTGCGGTCTTGCGAACAATATTTTTTAAATAATCCTATTATATAGAAAATGATCTTACCTGTGGTCTTGTAAACAATATTTTTTAAATGACCCTATTATATAGAAAAAATGTATTAATGTTAGATCTGAGGTGATCTGATCTGGGTGGCCATACTATATGATTACCTATTATGATTACCTTGTCCAATTCAGCGGCGTAGATAAGTTAAATTTAAAAAGTCCTTTACAAGGCGTACATTGTTTTATTGTAACCACATATATTAGTTATCTATATTTTCATCGACTTTTAACATTTTAAACTTTAACATTTTTGGCAACACATCTCATAGCATATGTAAATATGATTCTGCTGTAACATTTCCATAAAAAAGTAGGTTCCAACAATATAATCATCTAAAATACTACGCCAAATTATCACCTTCTATTGATGTTGATTGTCTACATGACGAACCTAAGATTGATATCATAAAATTGATATCAAAATAATAATGGTTATTATGCCAATTCAGTTCTCCATTGTTCTTAAATGCAGCTTAGTTACTAAACATACATGAAAAAAACACGAAAATAATGTAGGATGGAGCTGAATTTGAGCTAAAGCCCACTTGCAGAGTATAATATAAAGAACTTTATCATTAACAGAAAGTTCCTGATTAAGTGAAATGTGATAAGGATGAATGTGATTGGCACGTAAAATTTTATTTATAGTCGCAGAAGATACATTTAATTCATGATTGATTTGACATTAGCTAATGTGTGGACTATTATTCCTAATATAGTTATGATAATAGCATCGTCAATATTTAATGGTTTTTTTTAGAACGTTTGCATCTCATCTCTTTTCTACGCGCTTTAACTATTAAATGCAAAATTGCTCGGAATGTCATTTATCCGGATACTTATCTTGATATTGCTTTTATAGCATTATTATCAGCGAGCTACAGCTCTAAAATTATTATAAATACTGATCATGTCAACAATTTCTGAGGGAGATAATCTGCCATGTTAATAATGACACAATTAACGAAAGGATATAAAATGAATTCACCCTAATAAACAAACGAATTGATCAAATTGTCGCAGTAAGAGCCAACTCGAGTTGATTTTAACTAGAGTTTAAAAGACAATTCTGTGAATGAGAGCTTAGCGATTAATAAAAGTGTTTTCTAGTAATAGTCTACATTGAAAAAATGGATATACTGATTGCTTCTTTACTCCGAAACAAAACTATCCGGCGATCCTTTGAATACTTCACACCAATGTTGGGAAGATTTTTTTCCACAAGAATTCGTGCGCATGCGTCAACTTATGTCATGAATGGAGCTACTTGACAAATTCGCGCCTAAATATAATATTGTGGGTTTCTATGGAGCTCGAACCAAATGTTTTGCATTTCTCTTTTTTTCATATAAAAAATAATATTGAAAATATTTTAATTGTCTTCATCTCGTTTCAGCGTACTAAATTAATATTACCCCATAGCTGACACACGGGGTTAAAAGTACACCAGAGTGTTTTTGAACGCAAATTTTTCATAGTTGCACGCCAAATTTGGTTCTGTGGCGTCACCTAGTATTAGTCGAGGCTTGACCCAATATTGATAAATAAAACAATTATACACATTTTTTCTTGCTAGGGTCCAAAATACCCTCTATAGTACGTACGTTATTATTTTGACGTGTGTCACCTAAGGGTTAATCAATGAATTTTTTTATAAAAACGTTTCCTTCCTTTATTTTATCAGCACATATACGTTATTTTATAGCCACATACGTTTTCTTATATTGTGCAAAGTATAGTTTTATAAGAACTTAATATTAATATATTAATATTTTTGACAATACATAACTAAATTTATACATAACATTATGCGATTGATATGTTTTTTCCTGTATAAATCATGTGCAATCATTATCGTAAATATGAAATCTATACTTATTATCTTCACGTATTAAATCAATTCCTTTAATGTTTATTATGTACTGCAATAAATAACATATATTATCTATGTTTCATAATTAACGATTTATATTATTTTACTTGTTAATAATAATAGCAAACGACAGTATTTTGAATTATAATTGTGATAATATGAACAATATATAATTTCTAATACGGTTGTTGATGCATTATGGAAATGCAAAATGAATAGAAATATATACATGAGACTGATTTTAAAAATATGTACAGAAAAAGAAAAATGAATGTAAAGGATTTCTGATACAACTATCCGCTCATAATCGAATTCGGTGTAACTGAAACCATTAATATTTAATATTTTTCAAATAGGAAATATACGATAGAAGTAGGAAGAAGAAATAGTATACAGTATTATGCAGTTTATAAATATAAATGATAAAAATTATTAGAATTATGCATCTACAGCCGACTAATAACATGAATATAACATGAAAACAAACATTTGTTGTTAAGGTAAGGGAAACTGTAGGAAACTTTACCAATATTCACAATAAATAACATTTTACAAGGCGAAAAATATAAAATATGTAATACTAATTAACAAAGAAATATATATTTATATTTAGCGAGTTAGAGTAGTGGAATGAGAAGGTACCCGCTGTTACGTTCTAGAAGAGAACGCAATGACCATACTCGCGAACGTGAGTCCCAAACGTACCTGTATGTCAGCGAAGCAGGTCAGAGACCGGAAGAGTCGCTTTACTCTGACACGGACGTACGGAGGGTGATCCTAATTTAGGTCAAAGTACTTAAACCCTTTACTTGGGACCGTGAGCGAAATAACTGAAGATAGGGTAGTGAACGCGCGAAGGTTTTTGAATAAAATAAAATATAAGTTGACTAACAATTTCAGAGTTTATTATATCAACAACAGGTAGTAGTTAACAAAGTAAGTTATAAGTAAAACGATGAATGATTAAGAAATTTATAACGGTGTAAACATTTTATTAGTACAATTTTATCGACATAAATGGTACATTAAACCGCGTGTGTGAATGTGCATGTATGTGTAAGTATATGTGTGGGATTTTATGGGGGAAATAATGAGTTAGGGGTAGGAGGGTCTGATGAGAGAATAGGAAATATACGGTAGAAGTAGGATGAAGAAATATTATACAGTATTATACAGTTTATAAATATAAATGATAAAAATTATTATCGGACGAAAATATATCGAACGAAATTGATGAGGCAGGGGACAGTGTTGTATACACAACCACGAGACATGTCGATTGCCGTAAACAAATGAAGGTCATGATCGCAGGTCAAATTAATCACGATTACGAGACGTAACCTTGCAAAGATGCAACTCTGCACTCTTTCGAGTGCAATACCGGAATTAAGATGGTCCGCGTCCACACCCAAGCAACGTTGACGCATCAAAACTATCCCCTCCCCCTGATTAGGATACTGGAGGAGAATAAAAAGGACTCGAGACCCAGCTCAGGAGACGACTCTAAATTTTCAGTTTCCGGGTACTGACACACTGTCGGTCAAGCACGGAATATTGTATCGGGCGGGAACAGAATAAAGACAAGTTCATTTTTTGAAAGAGGAATAATTTATTGTCACTACCGCGACGAGCATCCCACACTATTCGCGTCGACTCGACTCACACAACAAATTGGTGGCAGCGGGATCACGCCCTCCATCTACAGCCTGCAACAGAACAAGAGGAAGGCATATGAAAAAGCAATTGCAAGTAGCAGATTAGTGTGCAATAAATCTTGAGACAATCAAATAAGAAGAAACACTACGTGGCAGCCAAGAAGGAACAGACGTCGTAGCTACGACCACCGACGTAAGCCAACCACGATAGCAGAGGAGGCAACGAAGCAGCAAAAGCAGCAGAAACGACCTACCTGAGCGTAGCGACAAGCGCCAAACTCAACACCGGACAACCGGAGCACCGATAACGGATCGTGCGAGAACGCGATAGCGCGATATGCTAATATGTATTAATGTAAGTCTTAACCTAAAACACACAAGCGTATACCCGTTCCTACACAAGCGATAAACCAATTCGTTCGTTTGAATGTTCGAAGGCACTGCGTAATATACCGCGTAATCCTTGCCAAAACTGATCTTGGCTATTTAGCGAACCTGCGGCGAATATAATAAGACAGTCAGCCGAACTAGTGAACCAAAATTTCGATAGCGTAATAGATAACACCGCGCAAAGTATACGAGAAGGATTACAAAACACGTTAATCGTACTTGATAGTTTAAATGGAGAGCAACCCCTGATACATATTGTAACCGAACGCGAATTTTCATTTAATAAAATCGATAACAGTATTTTACCAGCTGTAACTTCACGCGTTAAGAAACAAACAGACTTGCCGAGTAACAGCATCATTACTGATGTGTCAGGCAGAGGAAAATTTTCTTTAACTTCATATGACGAAAGCGTTTTCGACCTGAACGAATCACTTGATAACTTAAATATGGACAGGCATATAGAGCAGGATGTACCGTATATTGATCCCGCAATAGACGAAGAAATTAGTAGGTTACGAACCATTGTCGCATATTATACGAACGGTAGCATAGAGGAAAATCCTTTAACTAGAGGCAGCAGGGAAGGAGAACGCGAATCTCCAGTAGAGGTTGTATTGAGTCAAATATAAAACCTCACTACATACGTAACCAAACTAAACGAGAAAGTTAACATACTGCAACATACTGCAACGCAAAAAGATTCATCAATCTACAAAAGCTCACTGCGACGGGGCACTGGGACCAAGGCAGAACATATACAAATATACACGACCTTCTCTTGGAAGATAATTTCGCATTGAATTCATTCATAACCGACACCAACAGACGGCAGATAAAGGAAGCCAGAGACTTAATACCGACCTTTGATGGCACAAATGAAGAAAGTCTCAAAGAATTTTTGCACGCTTGCAATTATGCTTACGGTCTAACACATACTTCAGAAGAAATTGCATTAACTAAAGCAATAATCTATACGAAACTAAAAGGACAGACCATGGCGGAGATGGAGAACCGGAATGTAACGACCTACCGACAATTGGCATGAAGGAAACACTAGAGGCCTGTTATTCGCGAAAAAGGTCGACTACACACTTACAACGCGAATTTAATTTTTTTACATCAGAAGCCTGAAGAAGAAGCGCGGGTCTACAGAAATAGGATCGATAAACTAGCGACAGAATTATACGAGTGAGCCACTGACGGTACAATATATACCCTGGCAGAAAAGAGAACTCTTCACGAATATATTAAATCACAAGCACTAATTAATTTCCAATTTGGTTTGAATGAGAAGCTGCAAACCATAGTGCAATCCCGTGCTCCCACCACGCTAGCTGAAACTATTACCGGAGCAATGGAGGAAGAAAAGGTAAAGGAGTTAAATAACTATTACAATAATCGCAAATTTGCAACGCCATGTAACAGTCGACCGACGACATTTCCGCGCGTTCGAGAACGTTAGACCTCCCACGTGTCACAAATGCGGATAAACAGGACATCAAGAGAAAGATTATCGTATCCGCCGATACGCGAACCGATATACTGCCGAAAATAAGCTAACATCCCCGCGTAAACGCGACGAGAAAATATTGCATATACTGCCTGAAAGTAGGGCATACCCGCGAAGAATGTTGGAAGCTGCATGGGAAGCCAGTCGAATGCCTTTCTGCATTTATTTTTAAACGCTGTGAAGGGCATTGAAACACAAGCACCGCCTCAACTGATAGGTGTGGAATAAACTGTGGAGACGCTCCTAACGACAATGAAAGCAGAAACGAGAAGTAAAAAAGAGTTAACAGAACGTAAAGCGCTCGAGAATTACAGATCAATCAAGTGAAAAAAACTAATCAAACACACGGGATTGGACTTAGTAATACTCCCGATATACGAAGCCAGACAGGGAAAGGTACCGCTTTTACTTGATGCCGGATCGTCAATTAGTTTTGTAAAAGTGCGGACTTTAAAGGGAGAAACTCCCGTAATTACGGAATATTAGGAGTCGATTTCCTGTAGATGCATAACGCGACCTGCAACTATCAAAGCGAGAAACAAGATTTTCGGAAGAAAATTTGGATTTATTGCCCTACCGAACATATCAGTTATTTGCTCGGAAGCGAAGCGATAATACAGGCAACAACAAATATAAATTCAGTAGGGATCGTTACTGCTGAAGAAGGAAAACCTGAAATTTTTATTGGAAATTGCCCAGTAACTCCAAACAATTACACATACAAGGTTTGTTCAAAAAGTATCACGAATTTTGTTTTTTCAAAAATTATTTATTTATTCATGAATATCTATTTTGTCCCCTTCAAAGTAATCCCCACCAGATATTATACACTTGTGCCAACGTTTTCTCCAATCCTCGAAGCACTTCAAAAAATCATTTTTTGTGATTTTGTTCAGCTCCTCCTTCGATGCCGTCTTTATCTCCTCAATCGTAGCGTAACGTCGTCCTTTCATGTGCCTCTTCAGTTTCGGAAATAAGAAAAAGTCACAGGGGGTCAGGTCTGGGGAATACGGTGGCTGCGGCATCATTAGTGTGTTGTTTTTGGCCAAAAATTCGCGCACAAGCAAAATTCGCGCACAAGCAATTTTGGTACGAATTTCGTGGCGACCCGTCTCATGCACAAATCATTAATAAAAATCGAAGTGCGGACCTGCACGAGCCAATCGATATGTTTAGGTCCTCAGCAACTTCTCTAACGGTGATTCGACGATTGGCCAATACTATTTTTTTCACTTCATCAATGTTTTCATCTGTTGTTGACGTGCTCGGGCGTCCGGCACGCTCTTCGTCGTTCACATCTCGGCCCTCTGAGAACATTTTGTACCACCGATAAACGTTGCTTCGGTCCAAGGTAGCTTCACCATATGTCACAGTCAACATTCGGAATGCGTCCGCGCACTTAATTTTGTTTTTCACACAAAATTTGATATAGATTCTTTGATCCATTTTTTGAAATAGGCAAAAATCGAAGACGAGCCAAAACACGTCCAAACAAAACAACTGTCAAAGATAAACTGAATATTCAAAATGGCCGAACTTGTCGGCATAAGTGAGGGACATGAGTACCAACATAACGCCACAAAAAAATCGAAAATCGAATATACGTAATCCGCGGAAATTCAAAATTCGCGATACTTTTTGAACAGACCTCGTATGACGTTAGCATCATAAACACTACGGAGGACGCCATTGAATTAGCCACGCCGTATGTACTATGTAACCTTAGAAGACGTGCCGGACCACAATGAGAAAGGAATAAATCTAATTACGAGACAGAAACATGGTAAGATACCGCAACCGCGAATGGAAAGATTAAAGTAACAATTATGCCTGCAACACCTAAACCATGAAGAACGAAGAACAATATACGCGATTTGTGAAGATTTCAGCGATATATTTACTCTCGAAGGAGACTGTCTCACTCACACTATAACTGTGGGACATCATATTGCTACTCGAAGTCATGCAACACCGGTAAACTTAAAACCGTATCAACTATCCGACAAGCACAAACAGGAAGTGGATCGGCAAGGACGAGAAATGTTCGATGTTGATATCGTTCGTTCTAGTGTCAGCCAGTGAATGCTCCTTTATTAGTAGTGTCAAAGAAAACTGCTGCCACCGGAAAAACCAAATTGCGAGTCGTAATCGATTTCAGAAAACTAAATGATTTAACGGTCGGAGATTCCTTCCCGTTACCCAACATAAACGATATCTTAGACCAACTTGGAAACGCAAAATATTTAACTATTCTAGACTTAGCGTCAGGCTATCATGAAATTTCAATGGAAAAACAAAATAAGCATGAAACAGCCTTTTCGACACCTACGAGACATTTCGAATTCAATCGGATGCTATTTGGATTAAAAAATGCACTAGCAACTTTCCAGTAGCAAATGAATATAGTACTAACTAGACTACAAGGAATAAAATGCCTGGTATATCTGGACGACATAGTCATTTATGAGTCCAGTTTGGAAGACCATAACAAGAAATTAATCTCAATATTACAAATATTGCGCCAAAGTAACTTAAAGTTACAGCCAGACAAGTGTAATTTCCTACGCAAAGAAGTTACATACTTAGGATATATAATTTTAGAAAAAAGAATTTTATTGGATCCATCAAAATTAGACGCAGTACTCGTATATACGTTTCCTGTTCCGAAAAGAGTCAAAGATGTGCAATCATTTATAGGTCTAGCAGGATACTATAGACGATTTATAGAGAATTTTGTTAAAATAGCATGCTTTCTAACAAAATTAACAAAAGTAGAAATACAATTCGAATGGGGACAGGAACAAGAACATGCGTCCGCAACATTAAAGAAAAAATTGACAATCGCTGTTAAAATATCCGGATTTCAAGGAAGAATTTATCATTACCACCGACGCCTCGGATTACGCGATAGGAATTATTTTGTCATAAGGGCCGATAGGGATAACTCTATAGCTTATGCTAGCCGTATACTATCTCACGCGGAACAAAATTATAGCACTACGAAAAAGGAATTGCTAGCAATAATATGGGCAATAAAACATTTTCGTCTATATGTATAAGGAACGAAATTCAAAATAATAACCTACCATAAACCATTGGTATGGCTATTTAATGTCACCGATCTCGGATCACGGCTAATCAGGTGGCGACTGAAGTTAGAGGAATATGATTATGAAATTGTACATAGGGACGGACGAGCGAACACGAACGCCGACGCGCTCAGTAAGAATGTAATACGACCCATGTTAAAGGTAGATGCGCCGGGTGACGTAGATGAAGAAGGCAATGAGGAAAAATCCGGCAATGAAACAGATAAGAGTGATGCACAAACAAAAAACTCTTGGAATTACACCGAAGAGAAGAAAAGACAAATACTTTATGAATATCATGATGTACCTCTAGAAGGGCATCAAGGCATACAAAGAATGTTAAAAAGAATATTAAAAAGAGAATAGAATAGTTTAAATCATCAATGGGAAAATATGGCAGCTGATATAAAAAATTACTTATTAATAATTAATAAGTAATTAATAAATTATTGATTAATTTATTAATTAAATTTTAATAAATGCGAACTCTGTTAGAGAAATATATTATCACAAAAAAATAAAATGCCTCGTGATCACTGATATGCCGCGCAAACCATTCGAAAAATGCGCATTAGACGTAGTAAGACCATTAACAGTAACGAAAAATGGTAATAAGTATATGCTAACGTTCCAAGATAATCTAACTAAATTTAGTAAAGTGATATCCATACCGAATCAAGAAGCCTTAACTATCGCGAAAGAGTTTGTAGAGACGATAATTTTGGAATACGGTATTCTTGACAAAATATTAACGGATCAAGGAACAAACTTTTTAAGCATCGTGTTTAAAAACACTTGCAAACTATTAAAAATAGAAAAAATACAAACAACCGCGTATCACTCCCAGAGCAATGATGCGCTAGAACGTTCACACAGAACGCTCGCGGAGTATTTAAGGCATTACATCAATATCGATCAGCTAGGGATGAATGGGTGCTCTATGCAACTTTCATGTATAATACAACCCCGCATACCAGCACAAGTTACATTCCATTTGAGCTATTATACGGACATAAGGTAACATTACCTTCTGCCGTACATCTACCATCCAAACCCATATACTACATGGGCTGAGAAGTCCCGGGATTTTTAATGAAAACAAGCGTTTTTTGGGGAAAGTTATATTTATTCCTCAACATAGTTGCCTTCGAGTGCGATACACTTGGTATTGCGATTTTCCAACATTTCGATGCCCTTTCTGCAGTACGAAATGTCCAAGCCTTCGAAATACGCCTCGGTTTCCGCGATGACTTCCTCATTCGATGTGAATCTCTTTCCCTGGAGCCACCGCTTGAGGTTTAGGAACAGATAATAGTTGCTGGGGGCCAAATCTGGAGAATACGGCGGGTAAGCAACCAATTCGAATCGTAATTGGTCCAATTTGGCCATCGCTTTCAAGGACGTGTGTGACGTTGCGTTATCGTGATGGTACAGAACTGTTTTCTTCGCCATATGGGGCCGTTTTTTCTTTATTCCGTCGTTCAGTTTGTCCAATAACGCTGCATAATACTCTCCCGTAACTGTTCTTCCCTTCTACAGGTAATCGATGAAGATTATGCCATGCGCATTCCAACTGACGGAACTGCAGATGGTCGACTGCAAGAGTAAGTGCGCATCTTTGTTGATTCGCAATACACGATTGCCGTTTTTACACCAAATCATCACTTGTGATGAAAAGTGGATTTTGTACGACAATCGAAAACGATCAAGCAAATGGGTAGATAAGAATACACCGCCAGGACATACCCCTAAGCCGAAATTCCATCAAACGAAAATTATGGTTACCATATGGTGGAATGCCAAAGGAGTGATCCATTATTCCTTCCTACAACCAGGCAAAACCATAACAGCGGAGTCCTATTGCCGTGAAATTGATGTCATGCATGAGAAACTTGTGAAAAACAACCAGCATTGCTCAATCGGCACGGCGTAATATTACTGCAAGATAACGCAAGACCACATAAAGCTTCAATCACTGTTGACAAGTTAAATTCTCTAAAATATGAATTTTTACCACATCCTCCATATTCACCAGACATCTCACCGACCGATTATTACCTTTTTCGTAATTATGAATTATTTTTAAGAAAAAAAAAAATACAATAACCAAAACGATATTATAAAAGACTTTGAATTGTTCCTCTCTTACAAAAATTTGACTTGTATCATCTGGACCAAGGACCATTTGAACAATCGATTCTGAACAAGGAGGAAGCCACATATGCCCTGAAGATAATGAACTACATACGTCGAATGCAAAACAGAGCTGCAGACTTATACTTTTTGCGGCTCATCAACGGCGTTTCCTGCACTTGTGCGCTAATCAGATATGGATATGTAAGATCGAGAATTTAAAGAATCGCGAAACGATACATGCCAACATCAAAACATTCAATGTCACGCCGGAATAAAATTTGAGCGTGTACTATGTTTCACATTGCTCCTTTATAGGAAGCCATGGCTGTTGGCATAAAGATGGCTATGGATAAAGAGGATACCCTTATCACGGCGTATAGGTGTCACGGTTTTACCGTGGCATTTGATATACCTACTTGCGCGATTTTCGCAGAACTTATGGTTCGCAAAACCGGCGCTTTCAAAGGCAAGGGTGACTCCATGCATATGTATGCGCCATGCTTTTACGGCAGCGACGACATCGTTGGTGGACAGGTAAATCACTCGATCACTTGCGTGATCGGATACGTTAGGACTTCGAACAAATTCTCGCAACATTAGGTACCGATTGGCACTGGTATTGCGTTGGCGCGCAAATATAACAGCAGAGGTGCTATGTTGTACTTCACGTTGTACAGAGATGGCGCGGCATCGCGGGGTCAGCTCTTCGAGGCCTGGAACATGGCGAAATTGTGGAATATTCCAGTGATTTACATATGCGAGAACAACAAATATGGCATGGATACAGCCGTGCATCGACATTCTGCCAACACGCTGCTTTATTCACGTGGAGACCTCATACCGGGAATAAATGTAAAATATAGCTCTTCAAACAAAAAAATATGTATCAGAATTGGGGAAGTTACATTTGAAAAGTAATTCGTTACCGTTACTTGTTATTTTCACAGAAAAAAATGTATTAAATTTTCTGGCAATGAATAAATTAAACGCGAGTTGACTTGTCTTTGCTAAAACTACTTACAAAATTATAAATATTTCTAGTATACTTATCATTTTGAATGATGCATACATCATGCGATATATCGATATCATAATCAGAACTTGTAGTTTCCGTTATAACCACACGTATTGAATTAATGACCCAAACGCATTTTGATTTGAGGAAACAAAATTTTTGGTTCTTATGAGCCAAATTTGATTCTTTTAATAATAAAAAATAGGAAAATTGCAACGTTACAAAAAATGTTATAAAAATTACAATCGTTACGGAAAAATGTTATAACGATAACGGTGTTACAGGTAATGCATTACTTTCCCACCCTGATATTTTCATAATAATAATTCATTCATAATAAAAATAATAAGAAAAACAGTTGCTTTAATTATTATCTTATTATATGTATGCCTTTATTGTTCTCCTTAAGGTTACAAAGTACCAATCCACTTGACTCCATCTTACATCTCTTTCCATTTCTCATACTTATCCCTACCTTATAACTAATTTAACTCTAACTTATCTCTAATTCACTAACTTATATCTATTGCTAGCACCCGTCGACACAACCATTGTTGCTTCGACGTTGCCCCCTAGCACTTCTCGCACCCCCCCCCCCTTCCTGGACTTCCGTTTCCTCTTCGCTCTCTCACCTCTTATTTTCCACATCCCCCTTCCCACTCCTTCTATTCTTCTCCTCCTCCACCTCCCTTATCTAATCCTCTCTCCCTCACCTCCCAATATCTTTCCGCTTTCTCTTTGCCAACTCTTTCCCCCTCCTTCTTTCCATTCCCTACACCTCTCCCACACATGTTTCCATGTCTTTTCCTCATTCCCACATATCATGTATAACCTTTGCTCTTCTTTCTCCCAATATCTTCCGCTTCTCACTTTATTTCCCACCCTAAACCTCAATAATCTCTTCCTACTCCCCACCTACCCCCCCCCCCCCCTCCATCCTTTCTCCATATATTTTGGTATTATATCCCCTTTCACTCTCCCATACCACTTGTAACTTGATTCTCTTATTCTCTCTCCTCTCTCCACCCTTTGTATCTCTCTCTCCCTTCACGCCATCTCCTCCACCTTCTTCCTCCCTCCGCCTAACGCTTCCTTTTCTTCCATTCCTATCCTTTCCAAAAACCCTCTCCTCTCTCCCACCCACTTCGTTTATGCCCCCCGCCTCTCCTCCTTCTCTCCCTCTCCTCTATCATGCACTTCTTCGCCTAACTATTCCCCTTTCTTTCCTCCAACCTTCTCTCATATTTCAGTGCTCTCAATCCTGCCTTATTCCTTAATTTCTCTCTCTATTTCCTCTCTTAACAAATATCCTGATGTCTGCCTTTTTACCCCTTTCACTCACTTCAAGTATCTTTCCTATAACCTTTCCATCCTCTCCATCTCTCTCCACCCCCATATCTCCACCCCATATCCCGCCACTGTCTAGCTTGTCGAACGCTGTCCATACCAGCATGTCAAATAACCATATTCTTCTCTTCCAATCTTTCCCGAAACTTTTCTTTTCTACCCCCCATACATTCCCCATTACCGCTGCCGCTTTCTTTACCTTCTCTTCTATCTGCCTTTCCTGCCCCCCTTCCCCCCCCCATTCTTTTGCAGTCTGTATTCCAAATACTCTATTTCCTTTATTTCCATTATCCTTTTCGCTCCTCCATTTTCTTTATTTCCTTATCTTTTTCCCTCTCCATCTCCAATCCTTCTTCTTCTCCCTCCCTTTTCCTATTCTAAAATTTCATTATTTTTGTTTTTCTCACATTCATTTCCAGCCCCTTCTCTCCCATGTACTTTTCCAACCTCTCTACCATATTTCTCATTCCTTGCTCCTCCTTTGCCAATAATACTATATCGTCCGCGTATGTTAATGTTCTCAATTTCTCTCCTCCTATCTTCTCTTCTCCCCAATTCACTTTTTTCATTTCCTTCTCCAAATCCGTCATTAATAAAATGAAAAGCAATAAACTCAGCGGACGTCCCTGCCTCACTCCTCTCGCCGTTCAAAATGCTTCCCCCGTTACATTTTCTATCTTTACCTTACTCTTCGTCTCCTTATATATCTCCTCTACCTTAGCTAGCAATCCTTCCCTTACCTTCCTTGCCCTCATTTCCCTCATTAATACCCTTCTGTTCATCGAATCGAAAGCCGTTTTCAAATCTAAGAACATCGCCATCATCTTCTCCCCTTTTTTCTCCTATTGCCTATTTGCTAAATAGTTCACAACATATGTTATCTGTCGTACCATCCCTCTCTTAAAATATCTTTGATTATGCGGCACCAAGTCCTTTTCCTCTATTTCTTTCCCCTTATAGTCCTATACCACCATCTTCCTTTCCCCCTTTTTTTACTGCCGTTACAATTATGTTTTCTTTCCATTTCTCCAGCAACCCTTCCTCTCTCCATATTATTATCTTATTATATTTTATAGTCAATGTTGGTGCGAAGCTGGCGCCCAACTTTGGAAAAAGTAGAAATATTTAACATATAGGGGGACCGGAAAGTAATGTCGTTTCTGCGCATGTCGATATTCGTTTGTCATTTATCAGCTCATTGTGTATTTCAAAGTCGTGCCAAAGACATTTTAAGGTTAGAATGACTTGTTGTAAATAATTAAATCTTAAGTTTTTTTGCAATTTATGGTGAAATGGCCAGCCAAATACCAGAAGAGGTACATATCCGGCATTGTATGCTTTTTGAGTTTCGCAAGGGTAGTAACGCAACAGTTGCTACCAAAAACATTTGCGATGTTTATCCAAGTACATTAGACGTTTGTAAATTCCAAAGGTGGTTTTCTAAGTTCAAATCCGGTAATTTTGATCTTTTCCACTCGTACCGATCAGGAAGAGCAACAACTTTAGACAATGACATGTTAAGGGCGGAAATGAAAGCAAATCCGTTTGAGACAATCGAGGAACTGTCAAACACTCTTAACCAACCTTGGTCGACCATCCAAGAACATTTGCAACAGATTGGTAAAGTAAGCAGAGCAAGTGTTTGGGTCCCGCATAATCTGTCCGAAAAAAACAAAACTAACCGATCCATCATATGCAACTTATGGCTTCAACGGTGCAATACAGAAGCGTTTTTTGATCGCTTGATTAATGTAGACGAAAAATGGGTCCTGTATGATAATCCAAAACGCAAAAGGCAGTGGCTCTCTCCGAATAAATCGCCACGAAGTACTGCTAAGCCAAGTTTACATCCCAAAAAGTCGCTTTTATGTGCTTGATGGAGTATTCGCGGAATCGTTCATTTTGAAATGCTGAAACCTGGACAAAATGTGAATTCAGACCTTTACTGTGAACAATTGGATCGAGTAAATCAATCTTTAATTGAAAAGTGTCCAGCGATTGTCAACAGAAAATGCGTTATTCTGCAACACGATCATGCAAGACCGCACTGCGCAAGACGAACCCTGGAAAAAATTAATGAATTGGGGTGGGAGGTACTGCCTCACCCACCATACTCGCCCGATATTGCACCATCGGATTTCCATTTATTCCGATCGCTACAACACTTTCTATGTGACAAAAAATTTGAAAATTTAGATGATATCCAAAATGCCCTCTTCAGATATTTTGCTCAAAAACCAATTGATTTTTATCAATCTGGCATTGAAAATTTGCATACTAGATGGCAAAAGGTTGTTGATAACGAGGGTGATTACATCATTGATTAAAAATTATAACTTGTTAAAAATTTATCTGTTTGAATTTAATGTGAAAAAACGACATTACTTTCCGGTCTCCCTAATAACGTAATATAACCAGATTGTGCTTCGTTTGTACCTATTTATACCACTTCCTTCTTCATTTATATCTCAAATGCTTTGAAGATAAAAAGATGGAAAAAATAGTCATCGGACGATTGAAAGATTTCTTACTTTTGTTTATATTATTCGAAAGAGTATCGTTTGTATCCGTTTGTACCTCTATCATTTTCGTTTACCAGGTGTAGAAGTATGAAACCGGAATTTTTTTGTAAAAATTACACGTCTGTTGTTTGAAAATGATAAAAAATATTTTATTCAAAATAATGCCCATAGCTATTTATACATTTTTCCCACCTCTCCTGCAGTTTATGAATGCCACGCTAAAAAAACATTTCTTCTTGNCACACTCAATTCATCCGCGAGTTCTTGTTGAGTTTGAGTATCATCTTCATTTAATAAGGCTTGCAATTCGTTGTCTGCGAACTTTTTCGCTGGTTTCTCACGTTCTTCGATTCTCACGTCAAAATCACCACTTTTGAATTTTTTGAACCACTCGGAACACTGTGTTTTACCAAGAGCATGTTCACCGTAAGCTTCGACAAGCATTCGATGCGCAGCAGTTTTTTTCAAATGATAATAAAAAACCAATGCTGTCCGCCAATCGTAGTTCGTAGGCACAAAACTCGACATGTTTAAGGTTATAGAAAAATATACCGGTGTATGGAACTTGGGTTATTATGGGTTGAAAATCTTCGTTAGCTGTTAGAGGGAGATGATGGCGTTGCAGAAGCGGTCTTACGGTCCCTAAACTGATGGCTAGCACCATCTATAGGGAGATTCCGGCTTCATACTTCTAAACCTGGTGTATATATATATAAATATAAATATAAATAAATAAATAAATAAATATATATATATATATATAGAAAGTACAAATTAGTTCAGTCCGTTTTCAAAAGATGGCTCTGGCTGTTATGAATGTTGCATAGTGACAGCTGTTTCCTGCCTGCCTTGCGAGTGAAAGGTTTATCCCGCAGGCAACTCTCTTTCCTGTTGAAGTTTTCTACAGCCCATCGCTTAGTGAGTGCGTAGGTTAGTTTCTTTGTGCTGCGCAGCATCAGTTCTTGCTGTTTCGAGTATTTTCTACAACAGTTGCTTCTCCTCGATCGTGTTGTACGGCCGCTAATACATTGCGTATTGGCGGCCGCCCCGCGTCCTCCCAGGTCACGTGACTCGGCCCTTTAGCTCCAAGAACTTGATCCGCCAGGATGGGAAAACAACAGAGAAAGAGATAAAAAAAAGAGGAATCTTCTTCTGTCTTGGACATGCAGGAAGATAGTAATCGCACACCTCCCCTTCTTCAAAACTCAGCCAACTTTCCCCATGCGGCCAAGATGAAAAAGGTCGAGGGGAAAGGAGACACTTCACCGATGCCATAGAATAGTCCGACCCCTCAAGTTCAGGATTCGGGTAAACAAGATAAATACGACGCATATTGTAAAGCACTTTTCTACGTAATACGGAAACAGTCCCAACAACAAGATAACCCTTCCTACAGATCTATGACATCTTTCCTCGACATTTCCCGTCTACTATATAAATCCAACGTTAAGTATGCGGAGTGCAAGCCCCAGGGGAGGAACATGTGGAGAATCTCCTTTAACTCCAGATTGGATACCAACGACTCGGTCAATAACCCGTATTTAAAATAACTTGGCCTCACTGCCTTTATTCCTAGATCTCTGTTAACCCGCAAGGGAATAGTAAGGGGAATCCCGCTGGACGCCCTCCTGGAAAAAATCATTGAGTGTATCAACCGCGAAAACTTTAAAACTCAGGCTGGGAATGCCTTTCGGCTCAAGAGAAAGAACAGGGACACCAGTATGTGGGTTGACTCACCCACTGTGTGTATGGAGTTTCGAAGACAAACTCTACCAGACACCATCCTAATCTGGAAAGCCAGAATCAATGTCTTGCTCTATATTCCTGCAGTCCGACTTTGTTATAAATGCGGACATACCACCAAGTTCTGTAGATCTGCGGAAAGATGCTTGGAATGTGGCGGAGGACATAGGAACTCTCCTGAATCACCATGCAGGGAAAACAAGAAGTGCATAAACTGCGATGGGAACCATTCCATACGTGATCGGGACTATATAGTATACTTAAAACGAGCTGCTATCACCAGATACATGGCCATCGAGAACGTGTCTTTCTTCGAAGCCCGGAAATATATAGAATCCAACGGAATTGATACCTCAATGGATTCTCCACCGCTTCTCACCAGGAGCAACTTCCCGGAACTTCCTGAGCAAGTCAGCCCAAGGACCCGTTATTCGGAAGCACTGAAGAGCACCTCGCAGTCTATCTCTCCGTTCGCCAAACTACTCGAGGATCCATACAGTATGAAAGCTCTACTTTTAAAATTACTCACGAGTATTGAACAGCTGTATAACAGGGGGAGTGCAGAGTCAATCAAAAGGGGAAATGTCAGTAAATCCTCAGATTATACTTCGATTTCAACCCAAACCATTCCCAACCCCGCCAATGGCCCACCATCCTTTTCCCAAGACTAGGCTAACTCAATGGAATTGCAGGAACGCACTCACAAGATTTAATGATATCAATCAACTCGCTAAAGAAACTGACATCCTTTTACTTTCAGAAACTTGGCTATCGGATGACACGAATATCAATTTAAAACATTTCGAAATTGTCCGGAAGGACAGAAGGCTAAGGTAGGGCGGTGGCGTCGCTATTTGTCTCTACAAGGGGATCAAATTTTCTCACCTAGATATCCGGTACGACTGTGACGGAGAGTTAGAAGTTTGCGGGGTCAGGCTCCACGCTGGTTCGGAAGAAATCTCCTTGGTGTCATGCTACAGCCCCCCTCAGGTCGCCTTATACCCGCCTCCAACTGGACGAAATTTTTCAATCAGTTTTCAGGTAGGACCATCATAGGTGGGGACTTTAACTTCCNGGGGGGGGGGGGGTACGAAATCTTGCCGTAACGGAGTAAATCTTATCAGGGGACTTGAATCCTCCGAACTTGTTATAACAAACACGGGCTCCCCTACCTTTTTCGACGCTTCTCGCTTTATCGAATCTTCGCTAGACCTCACCATTGCGACCCCGTTTCCAGCATCGACTTGTCCTGGGAGGTGGACTCGGACCTTCATGGCAGTGACTACTATCTTATCAATATTTCCTTCACTAGTTCTCTTAGGTCATATACACATTTCAGTGGAACTAAAAGAATACACTCCAAAATCATGGACTGGAGTAAATTCTGGAATAATATATCCACTCACTTAACATTGGCAAATTACGATAAGGACTCCTTTCCGGATATCTCTTCTCGCTATCTGTCTTTCCTAGAACTTATTAAAGACTCTATAATTGCTTCAACAAGTGGTTTTACAAACCTCCGCAAATCAAATTCCTCTAAATACTATAAACCGAAACTTCTCCCACAATCTCCTTGGTGGGACGAAGACTGTGAGAAGCTCGTCAGACTAAGGAAAGCTGCCCTAAAAAAATACAAATTTACTACAACTCGATCAGACTACATTAACTTCCGAATTGCTGAAGCCAGATGCAGAGTAGGTTTGAAAAATAAAAAAACCGAGAAATTCAAACAGTTTTGCGAAAAACTCAATAAGGACTCTAACCCTAACCTTATATGGAACACGGTTCAAAAATTCAAAAGCCGTTACCACCATGCAAAACAGAGCTCTCTTGCTACAGTCCTGTCAAGGAAACCACTGTTAAGAATATGATCTCCGAGATCTGCCCTCCATGGACACAGGTTCGGCCTCCCTCCTTCGAGAACTACGTCTGGGACCCTTTTCTAGACCTTCCATTTTTCCTACAAGAACTATCCTATGTTATCAAAGACCTCAAAATCAAATCCAACCCAGGTTTTGACTCCATCGATTACAAAATCATCAGTTCTTTACCACCAGATGGCTTAGAGTACCTCCTGAACATATACAACGATATTTTCTTCTCTGGAACGATGATTAAGGAATGGAAAAAATACATAATGTTCTTCATTCCTAAACCGAACTCGGACAACTTCCGTCCTATCTCTCTTGCCTTTTGCTTCGCTAAAATTGTTGAAAAAATGATCTACAACCGGCTTAATTGGTGGCTCGAACACCATACGAAATTTTTTAAATCACAATTTGGCTTCCGAAAAATAGATCCTGTATGGATAATTTAACCATCTTATACGCTAACATTGTTAGATCTTTCTTGAAGGGCTCCTCCACAGCTGCTGCCTTCTTGGACATTAAATCTGCTTTAGACAATGTTCTCTGGGACGTTTTATTTAAAAACTCCAAGCTCTTTGCATCCCACCCTGTACTCTATCTTTCATCTATAGCATCATCGCTGAAAGGGAAATACATTGCAAATTCGATGATATAGATGAAATTCTCTGGACTTATAAGAGCCTTCCTCAAAGCAGCGTCCTAAGTCCCATCCTGTATACCATTTATACCTCTGAGGTGGAAGGTGTCCTTCCACCACACCGTAACATTATCCAATACGCTGACGACATTGCTATCTTTTCCGATCTTTACCCCCTACCCAAAGCTGAATCTTTGGAAACATCATTAATAAAAATTAATAGAATACTCCTTGATTTAGGTCTCAAACTATCTCCCAGCAAATCAAAATTTTGCATCTTTAAGAAATCTTCAAGTCACCCTCACCTTAACTTTAATGAGGATAAAATTTCAAGGCACAATTCTGTAAAACTTTTAGGCATGATCCTCTTTTCCGACCTTAAATGGAACAAACACGTAGATCAAGTTTGGAATTCTTGTCAAAACCCTCTCAAAATCCTAAACTGCCTCAGACATACCTGGTGGGGCGCAGACCCAACGACTCTGCTTAGAATATACAGAGCTTTCATCCGCTCTAGACTTGAATATGGAAGTTTCCTTCTCCACAACCTCAGTTCCGAATCTTATCAGAAACTTAATAGAGTCCAATACAAGGCCCTTCGTTTGGCGTTGGGATACAGGGCGTCCGCTCCCATTAATGTGATTTTGGCCGAATCTAAGGAACTCACTCTTGACCTCAGGTTTGAATACCTATGTAGAATGTTTCTCACTAAAACCTTAGCTCTGGACATCCACCCGTTAAACCAATACTTGGAAGACTCCTTTAATTCCTTCGTGAATTCCGCTTCTCGCTTGTCTTTTCCCACCCCCTAAGTTATTCGCGTGCTACCAGGATATAATCCATCTCTCTACAAATTTCTATACAGAGGACAGACCCTATAGTGGCTCTTTTCTCTTCCAATCCTTCACCTTCTCTCCCAAGATCGACCTTACCTCTAGTTAGCTCTTGAAGGATTCACGCGACCCGAATGTATGCATGAGCGATCTTTTCCGTAATCCTAACGAGTATTTACACCTGTTTACAGACGGATCCAAAATCCCGGGCAACCCGTTTTCCGGAATAGCCTTCACATCCTTGAACGAGAAACACTCCGGCCTTTTCAGGGCACCAGCCTTCCTTCCGATCTTCTCTATTGAGGCCTTGGGTATCCGAGAAGCCCTGTACGCAGGTCGCTACTCCAAATACAGAAAGATAAAAATCTTCTCCGACTCTAAATCCGTTCTCACAGCCTTAAATACCACGGACATTGCAGGAAAAGCCAACCCCCACATCAGTAACATAAAAGATGACATCTGGGAAATGGAATCCAGTGGCTTCGAAATATCCCTCGTGTGGGTGCCCGCTCATATTGAAATCTTGGGTAACGAACTAGCCGATAGCAAAGCCAAGGAGGCGCCCTTCCGGGGAAAAAAACACCCTTTTTAGATGCTATCCTTGCGACCTTAAGGGGCACTGGAAAAAGAGGCTATTTAATGACTTCGAGAAGTGGATTCTAGAAAATTTCCCTGGTAAGGGCACTCATTTTATCCAGAACTATCACTTTCCTAGACGCAGACCTTGGTTCGAGGAATGTAGGTTGAATCGTAAGATGGTGGTTTCGATTTACAGGCTCAGATCGGGGCATACCTCTTTAAATGAGTCTTTTTAGGTTCAGAATTGTAGACTCCCCCGACTGCCTACATTGTATACATCCGAATCGGCAGACCATGTGGTTTGGCAATGCCCTCGCTTTGGGAACCAGAGGGACACCTTGATACGAAACGAAATATTCACCTTTCGCACCCTGCTTTGGGCGGTCCACTCCCTTCTCGCGACCAAAGATCTTAATAGCTACACTTTGTTATGCCAGTTCATAAACGGAATCAACTTATTCATATAATCCTCTCTTGTCCGTTTAACTACAGGCGGACCCACTATGCCTAAGTCAGAAACACATTAAGACTATTAGTTACCTTTACTCTGACGTAACCATTCCACCTCCACTCGTAGTCTAGACACATATAAGTTCGCGTGCGATTTGTATTATAATCTTAGTATGCGCTTCCCCCTCTCTTTAAGCCACTCTCTTACTCTCTTTCTCTTTGTATATATTTTTTCTTTCAGTTTGTACCTGGCGAAGACTGTTTAATTCGCAACTCACGAGTCACCAAAACTCCTACAACCTCATACGGAATTATCTCTCTTTTCCTTTTTTCTTTTTTCCTTAGGTGACTCTCGATGAACTCATGCGTTAAAATAAGCAATAGCGGATGCGTAATCATACTTCTTTCCTTCTTTATTTTTTCTCCCGTCTCACCGCTTATTACACAACTTCCCCCTCTGCGTATACTACCCTCAGTTACTCACCCAACCAATTTATCTATAAGGTTATAAAAACTTTGTTTATTCATCGACGTCAAAACTATGTAACCCACGCAAACTAACTGTGATACTATAGCGCTCATGGTCGGATAGGCTAAGTTCCTAGACCTTGTACACTTTTTTGTACACCCTTTACATGCAATAAAAAAAAAATAGTGACAGCTGACTTCGGTGGTTTCAGAGAGGTTAGACATCTGTCAATAATATTCAGTTTATATCGCTTTGAGTTTCATACAAAACCCCTGTTTTTTACTGTGTTGAATATGTCAAATTTTGTGTTAACTAAGCAGCATTTGCGGGAGGTTTTAGTTTTCTGCTTTAATTGGAAGAAAAGTGCAGCTGAAGCGCATCGAATGCTTGTAAAAGTTTATGGTGACAATGCTTTAACTGATAAATCATGTAGGGAATAGTTTCGACGTTTCAAGAATGGTGATTTCAGCATTGAAAACAAGCCTCGCTCTGGACAGCCAAAAAAATTCGAAGACAAAGAATTGGAGGCATTACTTGATGAAGATACGAGTCAAACGCAAGAGGAGCTTGCAGAATCACTTGGAGTTACGCAACAAGCAGTTTCCGTACGATTGAGATCCATGGGAATGATTCACAAGCAAGGTAATTAGGTTCCAAGTTATTTTTCTACATGATAATTTTCGGCCTCATGTCGCAAAAGTCGTAAAAAATTATTTGAAAACGCTCAAGTGGGATATTTTA